CATCTTTCCCCTTTACTAACTCCATTGAGTTCGCCGCCGTAGAACTCAACAGTTACACCTACTTGTTCAATACTATACTTCGATTCTGCCCTCCTAAAAGGAACATCAATCTAACAATTTTGTTGTCGTCTACCATTTATAGATGTGGCTTGATAACAACTTTGCTAACTACCTTTGAAATCGCCATGTGTTGATTGAATGCCTTCAGATGCTGTCTACCATTTATAGATGTGGCTTGATAACAACTTTGCTGACTACCTTTGAAATCGCCATGTGTTGATTGAATGCCTCCATGTTGTTTTCTTTCTATGTCCTTATGGTTTTCTTGCTTCTGGTATATTTCACTAGATGCCTGGGCTATAAAAAATGTATGGTTAAAAAATAAGAAAAAATATGAAATTTACGTGTGATATTATTTTATTGAAAAATGTGTGATTGAAAATAAGAAAGAGAAAAATGTATTTTTGAAGAATGGAGGCGAAATAGCGGCTAAAAACACAGTGTGTTAAATTGGTAAATGTCGAAATAAGTGATACACCAAGTTCATTTTCTTTTGAAAGATAACAAATTTACTTTAAAAATTTTTGGAACACACAAAGTAATTGGAGGTCAATTGGTAGCATTAAATATGAGGATCAATCATAAGATCCACACCAATAATTATTTAAGCAATATACTACATATTCATGTACCAAAATAATACTCAATGTACATGTAAAATATGAAGATGCCTCCACTGAATAGAGAATTACCAAATTTCACCAGGATTGGGTAAGAATCAAGTTTTCAGGTTAAGGCTCAATTCAGACCACGTTTTAAATCACAAGATAAAAAGTGTTCATTGCTAATATAATATGAGAAGGAAGTACCCAAAAGATAAAGCACAGTTAAGCGTGCAAGAACTCACAATGAAAGCAAAAAACAAAAACAAAACAAAAAAATAATAATACTAATAATTGTAATTATTTTTGAGCTTCAGTTTAAAATATTCAAAGCCGGCCGGTGGTCTCAACCATTGACCACCAGAAGCAACCCGGATGCTAATACTGGTTTTGTATTCCAATTTTAAAGGCCATTGACAATGCGGGAAACTTTCAATGTCATTAAATATAGAATGAATTGAACAAATAGTGCAATTATAAATTAAATTAGAGAAAAAAAATTAGTAGAAGCAATTTGCAATTAGCAAAGCAATATTGCACTTTTTAGAACAGAAAGTGAAGGATAAATGAATCAGATCAGTTCAAAATTTGAAGGTAAAGATCGTCACACATTATTGAATTCTGACATCAGCATGATGATCACCAATGGACCCCTAATTTTTTTTTTCTACAACAATAAAGTATATGAAAATGATCATATTCTTTAATTTATTTCTTTGCATTTTGTATCATCACGAAGGAGAAGAACAAAAAAATATCAGTTGAGCTACAAAATTTAGCATCAGTACGTCAACCATGTGGCTTAACTTGAATATATAACTGATAAACTATCGAAAGTGATAAATAGCTTCTTTTAAAATAAAAATTGAACTAATAAATATAAATTACAAAACAAAGTTGTCTCGGCATTTATAATCTTATTTTCTGTTGGAAATATCATTTAATTTCCATTTGTCATATTGTGTTTTTCATTTTTGTTTCCATGCAACTTAAATACTCAATATCAAGTACAACTCACACCAATACTTAATCAAGTTGTGATACATATACAGGTACGGGTTCATATAACCCGTAATGAACACTCTCATACACCGGGTGGGTGGTTTTTTTTTTTTTTTTAATACAAGTGGGTCCCACATACTTTATCGAGTTGTGATACACGTACAGGTACGGGTTAACCCGTAACGAACACTCTCATACACCGAGCGGCCGGGTGGGTGGTTTTTTTTTTTTTTAATANCACGTACAGGTACGGGTTAACCCGTAACGAACACTCTCATACACCGAGCGGCCGGGTGGGTGGTTTTTTTTTTTTTTAATAGAAGTGGGTCCCGTGTGGGACCCATTGTTTGTAAGTGTTGGCAGAACCCTGTACACTCATCATTTTCCTACTTAAAAGGTTGAACCCCAACCTTAAAGGTCCCCTACCGCTCCTACCCTGGAGCATCGTGAGGGAGGTAAATCGCAGGTTATGCCTCCAAGGGTATCGGGTGGAAGGTTGCTTGTACACTTGCAATTACCCAAGAGTCAAATCCATATTTCAGGATTCGAACCCTTGACGCGGCAGCCTCAAGTAAAGCTGGATTTCTCCACCCTCCCCTTTTACCACTTGAAGATGTGCCCTGGGGGCATTTTCCTACTTAAAAGGTATCATTTTCCTACTTCATCATACGTATGCGAGAGAGAAGCACTTTAAATCTTAGTTCGTACATTAAAAAATTGTGTAAAGATGGTGTGTGCTTTAAGTGAGAGTGATTTGCCACGCTCGAACCACATTTTGACCATAACTGTTTGGGGAAGTTAATGTTGTTTACTCATGCAATACTACTGCTAAATAGTGTGGCATATGCATATTCAATTTTTTCCCTCAAGTCGATTAAAGGGTATAATGGGGCAGAAACCGCCAACTTGACCTTTCTTCGTTCGTCATCTAATAGTTTTCTAACTTAAATAATATAGATATTCATTAGATATTTCGATGACTTTTTGATATTAGGGTAGCTAGAAACAAATCGTAAAACCAAATCAAATCCTTAATCTTTTAGAACGGGTTAAAATGTGATTTATATTTTGAGGTAGAAGAAATCAGAAGGCTACGTATAATACAGCAGCCAGCTTCCACAAACCAAAGATTCATCGAAATATGAAGTAAAATTAGAGGATCGACAGAACTTGAAAAAAATTTCAAAAAAAAAAGTCTAAAAAAGATTCCATATATAATACACCAAAAAATACTAAGAAAAAAAATTAAAACCCCCAAGACAATATGCACCTAAAAAAATAGAGAAACACAAACTACTTGTAAATATATACAAACTGAGCTGAGCCACTGAGAAGAAGGAAACCAAAAGGAAGAAAACAAACTCAAGGTCAAGATGTAGGAATCTCGAAATTCATGGCATAATGTAAGGGAAAGATCATATCCCCGAGCAACTTTGAAGGCTAGAAGCATGTCCAAAACATACCATTGCTATCTTAAACACGTCTCTAATCCCAAAAATTTAATTTCAATTTCAGAATGCAGAGAATATTTTTTATATAGCTTTAACAAAACTCTAAACCTGTAGGTTTGATTTCATATAACAGATTAACTCAATACCACAATTAATTAATTAGTAATAGATTCTCCATATATAGTTGAATGGAATTGCGTCTTTATGGTTTTATTTTCTCGCCAAATTAAACAGATAACAAACAAAAGCAGCACTAAGAAGTAGTTCAGTGATCAGGCTTTGGATTTACTCCTCAATAGTCACCGGTTCGAGTCCCCTCAGGGCCACGGAGGTGGGTATTCGACTGTAAACTTTAGGGGTTTCGTGGAATTAGTCGATGTGCGCATGAATTGGCTCGAATACCCACAATCATAAAAATAAATAAATAAATAAAATACGAACGAACAAAAGCCAATCAATTATCAAACTTACTGCTACGAATAATTAAGGAATTCTATCACAACAAAGTGAAGTTCGATAAATAAACAGAGTGAGATAAACGTTTCCATTCAAAGCCATAGAGCACCAGCTTCCTTGAGAAGAGGGATAAGGGTGCCATTAATATGACAAGCCACGACAGCCTCGATCCCACCCAAGAACTTCCCTCCAACAAACACAGCAGGAACCGGTTGCTGCTGGAAGAGCAGGCGATGGATATCACGGCCACCGGCATCACGATCAAGTTCCATTATAGTCGGCCCTACTCCGAGGCCGAAGAGAAGCTGCTTCACCACATGGCACATGCTGCACTCACTTATCGTAAAAATCACCACCGCATTGCTCGAAACCAATAGATTCACCTTGTCATATACTGTCTCCTTTCTCACCGGCGTCCCGGATTCTTCAGTGCTCCCCATTGATGAATCTTCCATCACCTGCATGTTGGTTTTGAAAAAAAGAAAATGATTAAATTTGATGAAATGAAGGGATCAAAGGGTGGTTGGGGTGAAAGAAACGAGATGTAAATAATTAAGTATGAGAAAAAGTTTAGAAAAGGGAAATGAAAGGCAGAAATATAACTCTGCAAGCTGAAATAAGTACGAGCAGTTCTGACGGTTTTGATTTCTCCTGCTTTGGCTTGTGTACGAACACTTCCGAGACATGCATGTCTTTCTTCTTCTATCTTTATTGTTCTACCTACAAACCAAAGAACCCATCTGACCAAGGACGAACTCAACTATTAAACCAGGGCACTTATATGTACCATCGCCATGTTTGGTACAGGTACTAGTACAATTATCTGAATATTACAGTGACAACCTTTTTTCCTTTCAGAAATTATAAATATGCTTAATGTAGTTTTTTCAAATAAATTTTGTGATTTTTTTTTTTTAAGAATATGATTAAAAAGAAAAGAAAATTTAGGGTTCCACGTGTGAAATTAGTTTATTCGTACGATTGTGTAATTAAAAATGAGTTGGAAAAAAAAAATGAATTTTAAAAAATCTGTAGCAAACATGGATTATCTAAACTTTTATGGGAGAGATAAGGCAATATTCAAGCTTATCAAGTTGACGGTCAAGCCAATCACCAAAAAAGGGCTCATATATATTACAGCTTCTGAGCATAGAAGGATGGTTGGCGAACGATCATATGGCCTTTTCTATTTTATTTATTTTAAAGAAATTTTTGTTTACTACAAATACGTCCCCTGCTCACTTTATTTTTTTCAGGGTAATTAACACAAAATATTTTTGATTTTTGCTTTTGTTACAAAATAAATCTCCATCCTTTCATTTTGGCGCAAATCCCCTAGACGATCTTTTCTTTGCCGAAAAAAATATTTTCTTCAATTTTCTCAATAAAGCCTTGTAAAATAACAAATACACCGTCATCTTTAAATAAAACAATAAGGAAAAAAGAAAAAATAAAGAATTACTTGCAACTTGCAACTATAGTCCAATTTTATTTTTATTTTTATTTTTTTTGAAAAATCCAAACGAGAACCAAGTAACTAAATAAAATGTAAATGAACGTATAATTTAGTGTTTATATTTTATTTAAAAATTTAATTAAGTAAATAATGTTCACTATATTTTGTTTCTTTTATTTATAATATTATCAACGTATAAGTTAGTTTTTATAATTTATTTTTCTTTCTCTTCTTATCAACCACACATTCTTTAATAAAATAATATTAAACGTAAATTTAAAAAAAATTCTTCTTTTACCACACTTTAAAAAAAAATTTCGAAAAATATAATCGCAAATAATGGAGACCAAACGAGGGTTTAATGTAATCATTATATATACACGTAAATCAAATGGATGACTACAATATCATCAAAATATAATCAATGATTACCAATAATTCTTTGATTGCTAATGGTTGATGAAGAAACCATTGATTTTACTGACCTAAACTTCTCTCTTTTTTATTGAAGAACTATTGATAATCATCGATAATATAATTGTTATTATTATCGTCATTCATTTGATGTACATCTATATAATATATACTAATTACAATAAATTCATTAAAGATGAAATAGAGTCATTCATTTGATGTACATCTATATAATATATACTAATTACAATAAATTCATTAAAGATGAAATAGAAAATAAAAACTAATTTTTATGTCGATAGAATAATAAATAAAAGAAATAAAATATATTGAATAATATTATTTATTTAATTTAATTATTTAAATAAAATATAAAAACTAACTTATATGTTCATTCAATTATTTAATTATTTATTTGGGATTTGTTTGTATTTTTTAAAGATTTTGGGACTACAGCTGCAATCAATTCTTTATTTTTTTTCTTCTTTTCTTTTTGTTTTAGTTAAAGAGAAGTGTATATTCGTCATTTCAAAAAACCTTTTTAGAAAATGGAAGAAAATGTTGCATTCCGTAAAGAAAATGTCATATAAAGGGGTTCTGAACCAAAATAAAATGATATGTAGTATTATGAAATATGGACGAAGGTTGAAGGGTTTTTGTGCCAATTACCCTTTTTCCCACAACACAATTCTCACTACATTCTCAAACTACAATTCTCGTTTTCTATAATAAAATTCTTACATTCTTTATATTAGCTCTTTTATTGTCGAATCTATTAATTCTTGTTTGAGTTACTTTCATCCAATTTTAATGTAAATTATATTATTGTACTTCTACCTCTTTCTTCCATATATTATTTTAATTTCAAATGGATTACATCAGATTGTTAGATATCAATGACTTCGACAAAATGTTTGGTACTTCCAACAACCATAGAAGCACGATTTCAATTGATATGGACGATATTAAAGGAGATGAAACACTAACAGTAAGTGTCAATAGTGAACGATGAACAAAGAAAAAAGTGCTAATTGTGGAGAACACTTCAAACTCGTTTACGTGACGTGAATTTTTTCACATCAGTAGGTCGTTTCTTCTTGTCTCTTTGACGGTCCCTAATACATTTGATATATTAACATATTATTTCTTCATGTCAAATGAGAATATTTTGACATATTTATTGACATTTCGATACATGATTAACAAGAGGGAGGTGTTAATGTGTTTAAAAAACGGCTTTATGACTTTTTTGATACAGATTTTTTTTTTTTTTTTAATTTTATCATTTGTTCCTCTAACTATCAAGAACATGTGAATTTGTCCTCCAACTGTGTAAATCCTCTAAAATGATCTTTCAACTATTAGAAACATATAAATTGTTGCTCAAACTATGTGAAACCTCTAAATCAATCTGCCAACTATTAGTATCATTTAAATTGATCCTTCAACTATCATAAACATCTAAACTGATCCTCCGTCTACTAGAAACGGCTAAATTGATCCTCTATCTACGTAGAACATCTAAATTGCATCTTTAACCATTAGAAAGTTCTCACTTATATTCCTTGGCAAAATCTTCTAGTGTTTCGCAGGTGAGGTCGCAGATGAATTTGCATTAAATTGAATCCTCATCAAAGTCATGCTTGGTTAAAAGGAAAGTTCATCTCATCGCTACTTGGTTAAAAGGAAAGTTCATCTATGTGATCTGATCAGATGCTTGTGAATGATTTTCAGATTTAGTTGGCATTACGTTGTTGGCTCCATTATTTGGTTAAGAAGAAAGTTGCCCTCTTTAGTTATAAAGTTATAGTCTATATGGCCGGAGATGAGTTCTTTTAGCAGGGAAAAATGATGGAATATTATAAGAGATATTGTTACGCTCCGATCTTATAACCACATATTCCGACCTGATAACGACCCGTCCGAAGTGTTTTCGAAGTGATATAGCGATTCCTACTACTGACCTGCTGAAGCACCTCACCTCCGAGGTCGAGGTCAAGTGGACCTCGGTTAGAAGATTCGCCGCCAATTTCAGAAAGAGATTTTTGCCAAGATCCTTCCTGCACCTAAGGTTTAAATTGATTTGACGTCTCCATGAGGCTAGTTGATGTGACTTATCAACTTTATGTCAATTCGACTCAAAAGAAACAAACTGTCCGCCCACTCTACAGACGTGGCTGATTAACGCCTATGAGCGGACGCTTCATACCGTCAGATGTATACACGCGTTCCACATTTAACGGTTCATACCACCTATAAATACCCAAGGTTTGGCAAGAGGCAAAGATAATGAAACTCTTACTATACAGCACTTCATATCAAGCCTATATATTTTCTCCTCCCCCTTTATCATTGATTTGCACAACCCCTGGGTACTGTTCCGACCACTTAAACCTGACTTGACCGTCGAAATGTATACGACAGTCACCACCCCCGCTGGTTCCGGCCGTGTGCGTCTGACTATTCGTTGATTGTGCGCAGAAAGAAATACGTGGAGTAGCTTTTAGTTGGCCACTTGAAATGACCAATTTTCGAGGTCAACAGATATCATTTGAATTAGTTTCAGTTTTGATTTATTTTAGGCACATTATTCAGGTTTGATGTTATAATATTTCTTACTTAGAATAGGATCTTTGAATCCTTATATAAAGGGTCTTATGCGATGTAATTAAAATAACTTCGATAATGAAATAAACTGATATTTTTTGTTTTTCCCCTACATTCTCTTCCGTCTGTCTAATTCTTCTCCCCTTTCTATCTCTCTCCTTCTATCTCCTTCTTTTCTCTTATTCTCTCCCCTTTCTCCTCCTATAATTCTCTTATTGCATCCTATATCACTCACGTCTTCGGATCCATTGGAATTTGAACACCTGAATAATATCTCAAATTCAGACATTTTGTCCCCAAGATGTTGTAGTTCACTAGTTCCTATATCTTTTCCTGTTCGGGTCAATACTGAAACATTTTTTTATTCTAATCCAAGTCCAAGTAGTCCACAGAAAAAACATAAAAGATCCTCTAAAGGACTTCATGTTGGGATAGGAACTGATGCTTCTTAGAGCGATTTCCTACCTTGTGCTGTGTCTTTGTCTATCACAGGAAAACCAGATCAAATGAAGCCTCTTCGAATGATAGGCAGGGGAGAAAGCTGTGGAAGTTACAGGAGCATATCCTAGATAAAGTTGCTGGAATTGAGGAAATGCTGAAAATATATTCATTTGGAGAATTGGAGGCAGCTACTGGAAACTTTTGTGCAAAGAAGAAGCTGAGTAATTCTATTCATCATGGGGTTCTTCATAGAAATTAGTAGTCCTAAAAAAGACGAGATGCAGACATGACAAAGGAGATTGAAATTCTAAGGTCAATCACGTTAATTTGATATGTCTATATGGTGTCTGTAAGTGTTGGGAATCTACTTAATCATTCGCAACGGAGAATAAAATAGATTTCAATTCCCATCAAGGATCTCTTTGTGTTTAAATAGAAATTGTGATAGAAAATGTACATTTGAAGAGATCTGCAAATTTTTTGATTTTTCTTTGTTCCAAAAATAACAAGCTGCTACCCACACCTGTCTAATTATCCAACCTCCAA